TTAATGAAAGGGACAGGCAGGGCCAAGTCAATGACACGCTGAAAAACAAAGATGCCAAGAGACTGGATTTATTTGGCAGGATGATTTATTCGACGGCCAGCCTGCAATTTCGGGTGTCTAACCACCAGGCCCTGTTAGGCAGGTACAATTTTAACCTGCCGGACTCCCTTAACAAATTCAGGAGCGGCCCAGGAGTTCGCTGCTCTAATCAACGAAGGCACAGTTGTGGCAAGGGGGCCCTCCAGATGGCCTGGGACACTACTGACTCAGCGGCTACTGTGGTTGCCTCTGCGGTGGCCATGAGACGCAGCTCCTGGTTGCAGTCCTCTGGGTTGTCCCAGGAAATGAAGTCCACTATTCAGGACCTCCCATTTGAGGGGGTGGGGCTCTTCTCTGAACTCATGGACTTGAGAGTCCACAGCCTTAAAGACTCCCGTGCCACTCTCTGCTCCTTGGGCCTCCATACTCAATAGGCCAGGAAGCCGTTCCGCCCTCTGCCTCCACAGTCTGGGTCCTGGGGGACTCTTCAGCTGAGCACCTACAGGAGAAAGACCCCTTGTTTCTATCCTAAGCGGTGACACCTGTCATCTTCCTGTTCGTCTGCTCAGCCTGGCCTTTCCAGGAACCAAGGAGACCAGAAGCAGACGTTTTGAGGGTGCCCTTGAGGATGACGCCCCAATCACTTCCCAGGATCCACCCTTCCCCTCTTTCCTGGACCGCCTCTGCCTCTTCCTATTGGCCTGGTCTTGACTAACTTTGGACCATTGGGTGCTCGAAGTAATATCCTCAGGTTACACCTGGCTATTTGTGGCCAACCCTCCGTCCCACCCTTCTTCCCCATCCCTTTTCAGAGACCCTTCTCACGAGCAATTCCTCGTCTAAGAGGCAGAAAACCTTCTGCACCTGGGGGCGATGGAGGAGGTCCCTTGGGATGTGAAAGGAAAGGGGTTCTACTCCCGCTACTTCCTAATCCCAAAAGCAAAAGGGGGCCTCGGACCCATTTTGGACATGCGTCGCTTCAGTAAATCTCTCAAGTAGTTGAAGTTTCACATGGTCTCCCTTACCTCCCATCATTCCCTCGCTGGATCCGAGAGACTGTACGCTGCCTTCCACTTGAAAGAGACATTTCCATTTTTGCAGAGCACAGGCGCTTCCTTTGTTTTATGCTGGGCCAGCGCCATTTCCAGTTCACGTCAATGCCATTCGGTCTCACGTCATCCCCAAGAATGTTCACAAAGTGCATAGCACAAGGGGCTGCTTACCTGAGGTGCCAGGATGTTCAGATTTACCCAGACCTTGACGACTGGCTGTCATGGACTCACAGATCGTGCCCACTCTTGTCCCCGTGCGATCCGTCGGGGGGTGCCCCTTTCAGTGAGACAGCCCTTCTTGGGGGTCCACTCTCTCTCGGGGTTAAGGCCCTCCACCTTCTGGAGCCGCACCTCTCTGAGCCTTAGCACGTCTGTCTCTCGTCGTGGGCCCCCTCCAGGGAGTCCACTCGCTCTGGACCCCTGGGGCCTCCACCCCCTGAAGGGGATGATGCAACCCTGTTCTCTAGACTGGAGTGACTCTCAGACAGCATAAAACAGGAGGGTTTATTGAGCGTTGAACACAGCACAGGAAACTCTCAGGGCCTCAGGCCTGGCCTCCCTCAGCACAGCACATCCAAGTCTACCCAGCATCCAGGTGGGCTCTGCCTGCTCTCTTTCTCCAGCCCAGAGTCCCCCTGCTTCCCAGCTGGGCATCTGATATCACCGGCCTCAAGCCCTGCCTCTGTCCATTGTCTTCTCTCCAGGGAAACAGGATCATAAACTGGGTTGCCGGGCCTCCTCTCCTTGCTTCTGTCCTCTGGCTGGAACCGGCTGGTTAGGTCATGGGGTCCTCTCTTTACAGCCCATTGTACTCCCTCTGGCCAGAACCGTCTGTGACTCCTGAGCTGGGTCCTTGGGTTGTCAGGTCACCAGTCGCTGGGGTGTCCATCCTCCAGGCCATTGGCTGGGGTCCCAAGTTCCCTCTCCGGTCCTCTGTAACAACAAACTCCCTCTCCCTTCACCTCGTTAAACCAGTAACACCCAGGGACACTGAGTCCCACTCCCTCTGCATGCAAACCATTGGAAAACCAAGGAAAACACAAGAAAATCCCCCACTTTGTCACACTGGCTAATAAAGGGCCAGTCTCGGGACCAGCTGCGGCAGCATCTCGATCTGGTTTGTTCCACCTGTCACGACCTGGGGCTGTTAATAAATGAGAGAGTTGACCTTAATTCTGGTACAATGCATAGAGTTCATTGGAGCAGTCATCGACTCTGCTCAAGCCAGAGCCTTCTTCCCCGAGGCTTGGTTCCAAGTCATGGCAGACTTCATCTTGTGCATGCGAGCCCACCCTCTTACTGCTCACACATGTCTGCAATTATTGGGCCACATGGCGGCCTGTACTTATGTGGTCCAGCATGTGTGGCTCTGCATCGGGCCCCTGCAGGTCTGGCTGGTCTATGTCCCCAACAGATGCAGATTGGACCGGGTGGTCAGGGTCCCGAACCACGTACTGTCGTCACTCACCTGGTGGCAGAGTCCTGCATTGGTGTTGGAGGGAGTTCCCTTCGCGGCTCCATCCCCGTCAGTGAACCTCATCTCCGATGCCTCAGACCTAGGGTGGGGAGCCCACCTTGGTGATCTCAGCACGCAAGGTCATTGGTCGAATCACGATCGCTCCCTACACGTCGTCGGGGAGCTCAGAATGGTTTGGCTGACTTGCCAAGCCTTCCTACCTCACATAAAAAGGAGGGTTGTCCAGGTACTGACGGACACTACAGCGGGTATGTTCTATATCAATAAGCAGGGCAGAGCCAGATTGTCTGCCCTTTGTTACGAAGCCCTGAGACTCTGGGACTTCTTTTTCCAACACGACATCCATCTCTTAGCCAGGCACCTCCCCTGGGCCAGGAACGCTTTGGCAGATCACCTCAGCATGACCATCTTGTCTCACCACGATTGGTCTCTCCATCCGGAAGTGGTCACCTTCTTCCTCCAGAGGTGGGAGACTCCCCAGGTGGACCTGTTCGCGTCCAGTCAGAACAGGAAATGCCCAGTTTTCTGCTTGATTTGGGGGATCGACAGGGGCTCCCTGTTGGAGGCTTTTATGCTCCTGTGGTCTGGGGCTGTGCTGTACGCCTTCCCTCCCAGTGCTGTTGATTCACAGGGTCCTCATGAAGATCAAGCAGGACAGGGTGAAGATGATCCTCGTAGCAACGGCTTGGTTGCGCCAGCACTAGTTCTGTACGCTTCTGAACCTCTCAAGTGGCTGCTCCAGTGCAGCTACCGCTCAGGCCGGATCTGCTGTCCCAAAACTATGGCAGTCTTCTGCATCGGAACCTAGAGGTGCTGCACCTCACTGCTTGACTGCTGCATGGTTAAGTGCGGAGGAGCAGGAGTGCTCGGCTGCTGTGTGTTTCTAATCTTCTGTTTCTAATGTGGCTTGAAGTTGAGCATCTCTGTAGGTCCTTCAAACATGCAGGAGAATTGCCATAAATCAGGTTGGTTTGGTATCGGGCCAGCCAGAAGAGACTTCTGATTTCGCCATGTCTAAAAATATTACGATGATAAAATACCATAGTTGTTTTGAAGTATTTTATCAGGAAGTGCAAAGTGAGCCACTTAACAAGTAATCTTCTCTCTCTTAAAGCCTTAATTTTATAGCCCTAAAATCAATGGGAATTTTGCCACTAACTTCAATGGGTGAAGGATCAAGCTTTATTTGCCATTTTGCTGCATCCAATGGCAGTTGCACTAATTAAAATAGTTACATCTCTGGGATTCAAATAAGAAATTCATATATAATGACTTAGATTCTTCAATTTAAAAATAGCCCATAAAATAAATTGCATCATATGGAAAGTGGGTATTGGAATTTCATTCTAAATAATCAAAAGGCCAAACATAATACATCTTTTTATCCCCTTCAAACAAGCATTTTATTTAAATTGCACTAGTGGCTGAATGTCTTCATCAACATATTTTACTGGGCTTTTAGTTTTTCTTTGTATGTCTTGTCCATTTAGACTGTGAACTCTTCAGGGCAGGGACCATTTTTACTCTGTTTATACAGGACTTGGCCCAATTGGGCCCTGATTTTGATTGGGATCGCTTAGTGCTACTGTAATAAAAATAGTATTAATTTGCACAAAGTCCTGGGTTAATGTATGATTGCATTGAAACCCAGTGCACTCTGCTTTGGTTGGTGGGTTGTCCTGGTGAAAAGCTTGTTTCAGCCTTTGTTTTAGAGGACAGAAACTTAAAATATCAAAAGGAAAATAAGGGGGGGGGGTTCAGATTGGGGTTTGTCAGCTTTGTCTGTGTCACTCTAAATGTTTTAAGCAGAAATTTAAGCTTCCTAATAAAAGTTGACTGCTTTTGCTTTCTGGGTTTACTTGTGCATGGCTAATGCAAAGGTAAACACCTCTTATCTCAGTCGAATCAGTAAATTGTCTTTTTAGAGCAGTGGTTCTCAAACTTAATTGCACCACGCCCCCCTCTGAGGACAACAAATTACTACCCAACCCCCACAGGGGGGACTGAAGACTGAGCCCTCCCAAGTGCCACTGCCCCGGCTGGGAAGGCCAAAGCTCAAGCCCCACTGCCCCGGGTGGGGGTGGGGAGCAAGGCCGAAGCCCAGGGCCCTGGGCAGTGGAGCTTGGGCTTCAGCCCCAAGCAGTGGGGCTTGGGCTTTAGCTTCGGCCTCAGGCCCCAGCAAGTCTAACGCCAGCTTTGGCAACCCCATTAGAATAGGATTCAGACTCACTTTGGGATCCAGACCCACAGTTTGAGAACTGCTGCTTTAAAGGTATATTAAATGTTACTTTGTGGCTTTCAGCAACTGTGCAAAAGCTGAGTGTTGGGAGGGTGCAGAAAGGGTAGAATTGCATGAGCTCTTGTCTTATTTTGGACGAAGACCTGTTTACACAGAGAGTTTCACTTATATGTTGATCTAATTTTTTTTATAGATGGTTGTGAAAACATTCATGGATATGGACCAGGACTCGGAAGAAGAAAAGGAACTGTATCTAAATCTTGCATTACATCTTGCTTCAGATTTTTTTCTCAAACACCCTGATAAAGATGTGCGCTTGCTGGTAGCATGTTGCCTTGCTGATATTTTCAGAATTTATGCTCCTGAAGCTCCATACACCTCACCAGATAAACTGAAAGTAAGTTGAAATAAGCACGCATGCAGAAAATATATGAAGGAGGGGGAAAAAAAAAGGTGGTGGGGGAGTAAGGGCAGAACGAATATATTTTGCCCATTGCATCCCAAGCAAAATGATTTTATCTACTACTGGTTCCACCAGGTTACTAGTTATTTATTTTGATTTATACAATAAGTTATTTGAGAAATCCAAGGGTTTAACCTGGTTATGGGGACACAGTTTTTGTCTGCACTGCAAATTTTAACTGCTATAAAAGTTGGGAGATAACAGTGTTGTAATTAAATCTTCTAACTCACTTATCTTGTAGACGTAACAAATATAACTGGTGAGAAGCATAACTGTTGCAACTGTGGTCCCAATCTATGAAAGAGGCAAGATAGGTAAAGTAATATTTTCCATTGAACCCACTTCTGTTAGTGGAAGTTACAAGATTTCGAACTGCTGAGTCTCTGTGTATCTTGAAAGCTTGTATCTTCCACCAGCAGAAGTTGGTTCAATAAAAGATAATACCTCACCCACTTTATATCTCAGGCAGTCTGTTTCCATATATAATATTTAAAGGCTTTTGGAATTAACTTTTATATCTGTTTTCAATATGAGATTAACTAGAATATCTACTCTGCTGTCCTTGTAGTAGTGTTGGCAGGTCTATAGCTTCCACAGGATCCTTCTGTGAGACAGCAGCAAAATCCCCTCTGCCAGCACTTTTTTAAGGTAGTGATCACTAGTGCTTTCAGTTAGCATTTTCGGGTATTTCTCTTGGGATCTGTGGGACCCATGCTTGTTGACTTGGTGTTTCCAAGCCTGCACTTGTGTTCCCCGCTGCATTGTAAACCTGAGTTTACAGTTGCTGGACCTAGGTCTCAGCTGTACTAACATGTCTACACTGCACTACGCAGACCTTCTGACTCTAGTCCATTACTTGAAATGTGTCTACACTGAAAAGTGACAGGGCTTGGAGCTGAGCCACAGCGGGACTCTGACTCTGATCCACTCCTCTATCTAGGTTCTAGGGCCTGGGTCCTGAGTGTTTGCTGACTGAGTTGGACTGATGGGGAGGCTTGGGCTCAAACCAGAGTCAGAGACCAAGTTTAGTGTGTAGTGTAGAAATGCCCTTGGAGGGCAGAGAGAATTTTATTGAAGAAATATATGTTTGAAAATAGTTCAAATTATGATGGTACTCTCCACCCAACTGAGAGAGTGATCATTTCTACTGAGAATTTGAAAGTTGCAAAGTTTTAAGAGTGACCTTACTCTACATTATGTGAAATACCCATAGCCCAACTAGATGGAGATGGTTGATTGGGAAATGACAGTTTAAGCAGCTACAAAGTCATCTTTTTGTTACAGAAACTTTCCTATTAAGGCAGTTTTTAGATGACTTTACTCTTTTAGTAATGGGGGGGAAATCAATACCAGCTAAATTCCTTCTAAGCTGCGCAGCAAGCTATCAAGGGCCATGCAGGTGGTGGTTTTTGTTTTTTTGGTTTTTTTTTGTTTTTTTTAAATAGGCAGCAGTGAAAATTAATATTTAAAAAATAGTGGTGTCTTTTTGTTCATTGTCTCCTGCTCTTGGCTTTCACTTCTCTAGTCTTTCTTTGTCTGCAGATTTCAGAATTGTGCCTTTCAGAGACAAATTTGTAAGTGCATCAAAGACATGAAAAAAGAAAGGGCAGATAGTGGTATCACTTTCTTGTAAAATAGTAGTGCAGCAGACTGAGTATGACATTACACAGGGTACAATCTGAGCTGTTGAACAGTTGTGTCCCCTCAATTCACCAATCCTGGGGTGCCTTTTACACTGCTTTGCTTTGCTGTGAGAACTACTACTCCTAGCATGCAAAATCACTCCCAACTGAATTACATGAATGCTCTGGCCAGCCACTCATGATTTACATACAGGGCAACACCAACAACTTCCCAGTACCAGAACTCCTAGAAATGTGCATCTTGTACTACCCAGCTCTCTACTGGACAATATGAGCTCATATAAAGTCTGTCATTTCATCAGTGGAAAATCGTAGAATCATAGGACTGGAAGGGATCTTGAGAGGTCATCTAGTCCAGTCCCCTGCACTCATGGCAGGACTAAGTATTATCTAGATATGCACAAACTCCCTATTATAGGATATGCACAAACTTATTTCAAGTGGAGGTTCCCCAACACTTCAACCCAAACAAATGAGTTTAGATAAAACAAGTTTTTTAACTACAGAAAGATAGTTTTTAAGTGATTACAAGTAATGAGGCATAAAGGCAGATTTGGTTAAGAAGCAAATAAATGATAATATGCAAAGTAATACCTACCTTAGCAAGCTAAATGGATTCAAAGCAAAGATTTTATCTCACAATATGCTTACAGCAATCTGTAGTGACTGAAAAGGCTCCCAGCCAGGAACCCTCCCCCCAATTCAATGTTGCTTCCTTTGTCTTTCAAGCATTGTAGCTGCCATGAGTAGAGATGGGCGGGGAGGAGCCTAGGTGATTTGGAGGCCACGGTTTGTTTCTCCTTCTTATGCTCTTCTCCCCTCTTTGAGGATTATCTCCAGCTGAGGTTCAGGCAACAACCAATCTGTTTACACACAAACTCCCAGCCCTTCCACAAACTCCCAGCTGTTCCACTGTCAATATGTAAAGTTCTCGTTCACACCCTTCTTCTTGACAAAGAATGGTCACTTACCTAGGTGATAGTCTGTAATAGTTCATCTGATTATGCTGATACCTGGCTGAGGCACCCATGTGTCTGTCGCTGAAAAACTTGTTTGTGCCTGATTTTCTTAAACTTGGAGCATGTAGAATCTTATAACTTTATATGCAATGTTGATATACACATTTTACCAGGACAATAATGTTCAGTAGATTGAGTTTTCATATGGTATCTCACAAGGCATACTTTGTACAAAATTTATTGTAGCCTTGTAAAAATAGTAAATATAGGGTATAGTGTGTCACACTGAGACAGTTTATATTCATGAAATGAGTTCACAGGTGTCCTGGTTGCAGGACTAAAGACTTTTTGATACAAAGAATGACGATAATTTTCCTTCTAAATCTTTCTGGCTTTTTAATCAGGCATACATTGTTTTAGCCTGAAATTTAGGTTGGGCTTCAGCCTCTAAGGCCCACTCAAAGGTTTGTTGCCCTGTTGCCTTGAGTCTCCCATGAAAGAATCTGATATGGCAATTAATACAGTGTTGTCCTTAGGATCCACATAGAATATCCTGCAATTAGAAGGTTGTGCACAATTTCTCTTGAGGAAGGGGGAGATTTATCTGAGGAGTGATCCCTGCACTGTAAAAACTAGGCCATTTTAAGCTGTCTCGCTTTGGGCAACGAAAATTAAAATCTAGGTCTCCAATCTAACTTTTGTCACCCATCTCAGAAACTCTGTTTCTGCTATATCTTTTTTTGAGAACGTGACTGGCCCCAAATTAAATCAAAATTCAACGTCTTTCGGACAGATGTTCTAGCTCAACCAGAAGTTATGGGTTCAATACAAGAATCACTTGGTGAAATTCTGTGTTTTGAGATAAGAAAATCAGACTTAAATGTTAATAGTTGTGCCTTCTGGCATTAAAATCCTATTATTCTTTCTGGCCTTTAAAATATATGAGCACAGTTAGGGCATATAATTGGAATTATAATGCCATTATGTAAATCAATATTTTCTATCCTATTCCTTGGTATAGGTGGAGTCAGTAGTCCACCTGTTAAAGTTGTCTGACACTTTCCATTATAAGAGCCTATTTTCAGAGCCTTATAACTTTGCTGAACTTTGACCATTTGGTCTGAAATTTTCCATGCTGGATGTCTGACTCAGGCTGAAGTTATTGTGTGAAAACTCCATCCAAAATGGTTCAGTTGTTTCTGAGAATGAGGCTAGAGAAAAATACATTGTTTTGTCATTTAAAAAAATACTGGTGACATTTTCTTTGAGACTCTCTAGTGCCCCTATACTTGGGAGCAGGGACTTGAAATGTGGCAGGCAGGTGGCCTTTGTCTTTGCTGTTCCTGTGAAAATCTGCCCTAATTTGGCTAAATGATAAGACTTTGAAAAAATCTCAATTCGTACCTGTTTAGTAGAGACTGAGTTCAGCAGCTAAAATCTCCAAAGATTGTCTTCACTGACTATGCTCCATCCCCTCACAGCTTCTAGTGGAGGCTGCACATGTCCCATCCCCTCAGAGGGAGAGAATATAATTAGTCTTCTCACAGCTCCTGTATGTGCACGTGCACCATCTCTGAATATGCTCCAGCCCAGAGCTTCAGAAGCAAAGTCAGACTTACCCTGTAATGGCTACTTGGCTGCTGCAGAATGGTGTGGTGTTGGGTACCAGAACTGAGAGTACAGTAATTCCTCACTTAACATTGTAGTTATGTTCCTGAAAAATGTGACTTTAAGCAAAACAATGTTAAGTGAATCCAATTTCCCCATAAGAATTAATGTAAATAAGGGGGGTTAGGTTCCAGGGAAATTTTTTTTGCCAGACAAAAGGCATTATATACATTTTAAGCAAACAATTTAATACAGGTATAAGTTTTTTAAACAATTTTAAAGAAACAATACTACAATCATCACTGCTGAGTATGAAGCTTGGTTGAGGTGTTGGAGTCAGAGAGTGGAAGAGGATGGATTGTCCGGCTGCTCCTCTTGCTTTTCTTGCAAGCACAGGCACTGACTTTGCCGGGGGCAGGGGGCTCAACCCTCGGCCCTTCCACTCCACCCCTTTCCCCAAGCCCCCACCCTTGACCCATCTCTTCTCTCCCCCCCCCACCTCCTCCCCCTTTACTTCGCACGCTGCGTCCTCGCTCCTCCCCCCTCCCTTCTGAATGCTGCGAGCCAGCTGATTGCCGCGGCAGGAGGCGCGAGGACTTGGCACGCAGGCTCCCCCTCCCGCCCTGCCTCCTGCCTGGGGCAATCAGATGGTTTGCGTTGTTCAGGAGGCAGGGGAGGGAAGGGGACATCACTTAACGTTGTAGTTAGGAGTTACTGTACCATA